AAGTCCCTGAGGCAATGACTTTTTGGAGTTTTTGAGACCCTGCAAAATCAACAGCTGATCATAGTACTGGGTTTTCTTAAAGCCAGCAGATCCATCTTGCCGTAAATCAATTTTGAAAACCATTTTCCGTGGTGCTTCTGAGCAGGTTTGTGCATCTGGAATACCTAATCTTTGTCTTAAACTGTTATCCATTTGCTGAACTCTTGAATCACGTGTTCTATAAATCACGTGTTCAGATTGGTGAAGCCCACCAAGAAATGCTGCCAAAAGAGATTGAAACAGAGATTTGAAGGAGAGGAAGGACTATTCTGCTCACCTGCTCTGAACTCCTGTCATAATTCCTGAAATAAAAACTGGTTTTTTTTCTTTTTACTATACAACTAAAAGTTACCAAACTCAGTATAATTAGAATAATATTTATTGTACAGCCTAGATCAAGGGGTAGAAGCTCTGAAACAGATGAATAAGGCTGACCCACATAATTTTTAGAAAATTAAAATATGGTAAAATATACACGCATTATAAAAACATCCTTATATTGTCACATTGAGAGAGAAGATGGCTCATTGCAACATGTGGTGCCAGTGTAAGGGTTACTGATGTCACACAGCAAATCAATTTCTAAATTAAAGAAAAAAACAAAAACCATCAAATTTCATGTTTTAAAAATCTGGTAAGATTTCTCCATCTGCCATGTGCTACAGTTGACAGCTGCTTCCTTTTGCATAGCTAAGTTCAACATGACCTTAGCCAGGCAGAGTGTGCAGGGTATAAGGCCATTGTTGAAAGTATTAGTGGAAAAGTATTAAGGCTTGGCAGAATTTTCTCATATTTCCTTCTGTCTTTTGCTCTGCCTTTTGCTTTACCTATCCCTTTCTATACTGTTCCTGTCTGTCTCATATTTCTTCTCTCTGGTAGATGCCTTTTAAGAGTAGCTTGATTCAGCGCAGTTGACCTTTAATGGAGCAGTGCTGATGATTCACATCAAGTTTTTATAGGCSTGCTAGTTTCTGCACATATGTGGAGCAGGGTTCCTCTTTGACCTACAGGAGTTACAGAAAGGGAGAGACATTTTTGGGGAGGGAAGTTTAGTGGGTATTTTCTTTTAAAAAAACAATGCTTTTATAAAAACAGAACAAACAAACCAACAAAAAGCATTTCCTTTTCTGGAAGAGAGAAATCCTATGCAAATTCAAGAGTCGAAAATAGTAAACAATCACAATGTTGAAATTAATATAATCATGGTCATATTTTATCATATATTCTAAGGTTGATTGTACTCTAACAGAAAAATATTTTTGTGAAGAAGACTGGAAAACTTCTGCAGTGGAGTGTCAAATCATCATCATTAGCAACAATATCTGATTTCTCACAGCCTCAGAATCAATTACAAACACACACTGGAAAGCAGTTTTCTTYTTTCTCTTTTTTTGCCCTGCCTCCAACTTCCCTCTCTTCATTATTCATTCTGACATGCTCTTTCTTTTATATTCTCTTCATCACTGGTTTCTTTCCTTCTTCCTCATTTTCTCCGATTTCAGTGATGTTGCATTTAGTTTCTTAAACATTTCTCTCACCTCTGTCCCTCTCTCATTCTATCTGTTCCTTCATACATTTTTGCTCCATACATGCTTCTCCCACCCCTAAAGCCATATTAATCCTTTTTTATCTTTCCCCTAGACCTCATTCTCTTCCCTTTAATCACTCACACACACCTCTTATCCTGTAGCATGGATCAAATGYATATGGCCTTCAGATCAGATCATATCTAGTCCCTCTCCTAGGCCTTCCATTCATTTTGGTACCCTTGCCCACAGTGGGAATGACACCACCTCTTGCTGATTGCATTTGCAGTGTTRCCCAGAGTAAGCACTAATTATGGTCCTGGGGGTTAGAACATATTTAGTGGCCTGACTTCTCCAAAGAGATTYGCATTCTTTTCCAACCTGTCATGAAACTGAGTCTACTGGTGCACAGCAGACAACCTACAGGCAAACTGGAACACTGTCCTGAAGACATCCAATTTTCCCTGACCTGCAGTTCAAATACATTACACATGCAGATAGGAAGTTGATACCATTTTAAAGTTCCTTATCTGCCGAACGTGTATTTGGCAGTGAAACTGTTAATGTACACTGTAGGATCTTCAGATGCTGAGTTCACCCTGAACATGTTTGTTTACACGGAAACTGAAGCTGGGTGCAGCAGAGTTGGAAAAGTCACAATATGTGGATACAACAAACCATAGAGCCAGAAATACACATTTTATAGAAGAACAGAACAAACGCTGACAAGCAGCTCAAGCTCTTGTCTTACTCATGGTACATTTCTTGTTATGAGCTAGGATGGAATGTAGGATTCTGAGCAATACAAAGGAAACCACAAGTAGGTTTAATAATGATTATATGCTCCAGATGAATGTCACAAACATGKAACACGTTTATTGGTGGCACCTATTGCATTAATACTCTGACTTACRTTCTATCTACATACACATATAGCCCAATACCACTGTATTGCATGATACACCTTTCATCTTCATATGTAATAGATGGCACATCTCCCACTAGTGGGAAAAATGCTAAGCCATAAGTATATTGTGCATGCTTGTTCTTAATGTTAGAGTTATTATTTATTGATGGCTTTTATTTGCCCCTGTTCAAAAGAACAACCACTGAACAGTGGACAACACATAAAAACTTCCCTTCATACACCCTGCTTTTGCTTTCATGCATGAGAAATGATTATACAAAGGGTCATGGTCCATCTTTAATTCATCCCACTGACATTCTGGTTGCACTATCTTTCATTTAGGATTCTCCTATTTTGTGTGCAGCCACTTTAACAAGTTTGTGTCTRCAGTTTTGAAAGCTGCAGTGCTAGCATTATGCAAATCCTGGTCAGTGGGGTTTGGTTTGATTTGTTTTCTTTTTTTCCTGTTGTAGTGAGACAACCTCTCCCCAGAAGTATAATAAACTGTGAGTGGCAAGAATATTCATCTGAAGACAACAACATTTTGGTAGACTGAGTTCTAACTTTATCCATGTTTGAACTTGGTCTCCTTTTTGGGTCTCCCTCCTGCTTCTGTTGGCTGTTAATTTTGCAAGATTTATTTGCAGGATCAAAGCAACAATATCTAATTTAACCCTACATATTTTTTTCTTTACATATATTGACTCTTTTTGGCTGATTAACTAGACCTCTCTGACTTTCATGCAGATAACTCTGTGTTTGGTTTTAAAATGCATAGACTGGTTTGTTGGTTTTGGAGGTTTCTTTTGGTGGTTTTTTTTGGTTTTTTTTTTTTGTTTGTTTGTTTTTTTTTTTTTTTTTTTTTTTTTTTTTTTTTTTTTTTTGGTTGTGGTTGTCAGTTTTATTACACTTATTTAAGAAGCAATAAATATACCTTACAATGACCAAAAACGGGTGGTATATCGTCTGCTGGGTATAAAGTACATCACTGCCCGTCAGACAAGTGGACGACCAATCGTCAAACTTAGCGTCTTCCAGTTGTTCTATTCCTTCATTTGGTGCTCGCTGCGGTTGTTTAGTCTAGTTGAGGTTTTTTTGTTTGAGGTGCAGTTTTTTCTGATTTTTTTTTTTTTTTTTTTTTGGCATCGCCTGAAACCCCGTTGCGAAGGTCAGCGAGGAGCTGGGGAGGAAAGCGAGACTCCCAGAAAGATAGCCAGGCAAGTGCCTTGTAGCGCACGGCGGAATTCGGAGGTGGTGAGACGCTCCAGCCCACCCGCCGGCGGGGCAGGGGCGAGGGTGGCACTGGCGAACGCCCCGCAGTGTCCCGGGGAAAGGCCTTGGCTCCAGCGACAGTCCCTGTGACAGAGCCGGCTCCGCTGGCACCGGGCGGGTTCGCGGCTCTCCCATCCCATCGCCTCCTCGCCTCTGTCCCGGGCGGGCAGCCCGCACAGCCGGGCGTCCTGCAGCGCTGCTGGGCCGGGGAGCGGAGCCGAGCGGAGCGGATCTGCCGCTCTCTTTCTCACAGCCGGGCTGCACTGTGCCGCGGTCCCCGGTGCCCTCCGGCCGGCACCCGGCGCGCCGGGGCSAGCAGCCTCCTCCCGCCCTCGCAGCCTCGGCGGCGGCCGTGGYCCCACTCTGCTGCCGGGTTATGGCTACTGCCGCTGATGAGGACGATGTTACTAATTTTTTAGGTGAGGGGGGAGGGTGTTTTGGGGTTTCTTCCTTTCCAAAGCCACACTCCAGAGCCGGAGCTCTGGGCTGTTTTCCTCGGGCGTGAAGAAGCGACCATTGTAGTAGCACTAAGACGGGACGCCGGCTGAGGGTATTTCGAGGAGGAAGAYTTCCCAAGGGAATCATCCTATTTTCCTAGAGGGCAGGATTGGGATGTCCCCTACGCACATTTATGGCAGGACAGACTCGTGAGGGACCGGATTATTCCGCTGTTCTGCATCCCCTCTCACCTACCAGTTTGATCCCCGACCTGGGACTGGCACCCTTTGGGACTATAGCGCAGGGCCAGGCTCGGGTTGTTGCCTCTTCTCCACGTCCCACACAGCCCCCGTGGCCAGYGAGGGGAACGAAAGGGCCCGATCACCTCGGCGGGACCCCCACCAGAGCCGGGACTTGAAAGTGGGCCTGAAACTCCCTCAACTGCCCTGAGATTTCTGTTCACCCCGGAGACAAAAATCACCGCTGTATTTCCTGTCCTCGAACACTTCCTGACACGGGGAAGATAACAAAGGGGAAAGTTTAAAGCAATAAACATCCCCGAACTGCCTCGCTCCTCATGTGCGTCCGGGGCTGCCGGCGCTAAGGCCCGGCAGCACTGGGCTGAGGAGAAACCGGACTTTCCCACTCCTCGGCCCGACCCGTGCTCTGACAYCTCCTTAACATCTTTTGGGGATTTCCCTCTCCCTAGAATTTTGCGGGGATTCATTTTCCCCAACTGACAAAGACTTTATTCCCCCGTCTAGACTACCCATGACAGTGTGTCCACTTCTGGCTGTATAAAAAAAGCAGGCGCAGTGATGCCGGCCAGTCCTGTGGAGACACTTCGAGTCTTACTGAACTCCGAGAAGGCAGTAGGAGAGAGAAAGGATGGCTGCTCTCTGCTTTTTTTTTTTT